TTGGGGGAGTAACTTGCCCAAGGCCACAGGCGGGGGGTTGCAGAGCCCGGTCCCGCACCGGCTCCCCTGGCTCAAAGCCAGCCCCTCGCTGGCCCACCTTCTCCTCTGGCCAAGTGGGGACAAAGCGGCCCCCGGGCCTGTTTCCCTTGGCTAAAGGACGCCGGCAGGGGTTTTCAAATGAAACTTCACTGACAGCCCACAAAGCCCAAAGGGAAATAAACAAGCGAAACATGAGGACTTATAAAATGTTGAACTTGTAAAATAGGTTCTTTTTTCTTTCTCTCTTAACACATGGTGTTAGGCTATTGGGGCCCAAGAGAAGAAGGAAAGGGAGTCCACGCCCTTAGGAATTCAGAAGCCAGTTGGGGAGGCTCCACGCAGACGCGGTGCGGAGGAAGGCGGGAGGGGGGTGCGGGACACCGGAATGTGACGGCTGTATCAACGTCAGGTATTGCACTCGCTGCTTCTGGCTGCTGCAGCGTGTGACCACAGCCTTAGTGGCTTAAATCAACACAAATGTATTATCTTACCCTCTGGGAAGTAAAAGTCTAAAAGGGTTGGCAGGCCCTGGCCGGGCGCTCAGTTGGTGAGAGCATTGTCCCTACACGCCAAGGTTGCAGGTTCCATCCCCAGTCAGGGCACATACAAGAATCAACCAGCGAATGCATAAATAAGTGGAGCATCAAGTCAATGTTTCTCTCTCTCTAAAAAAATAAATAGAAAATAAATCAATCAATAAAATTTTTTCAAACAAAATAAAATGGGTTGGCAGGGCTGTAGGGTGGGGAACAGCGAATACCTGCAATACTCTGGGACCTATATTATATTGGTCTATATTACACTGATGAAACATTAAACAATTAAAAACAATAAATGAAAATAAGCTTCATATGGCTACTACACCTTCACCCTCCCGGGTTCCAAACAGCAAGGAGGGACTATGGGCTGACAGGCAGGACAGCCCTCTCCAAAGAGCCCGCCTCCGAGTTACGACGCCTGTCACATAAAACACGCCAGGTCCGGGTGTGGACGCCCTGTCTGACGTCTGGGTGCCCGCGCTGACTTCTCACCTGGCTCTTGGTTGGTGCTTGGAGCACTTCTGGGCCATTCAACCTGGACAGGGTTTGGGGAGATCCTTAGGCCCTGCCCACTGGAGATGGGCCATCTAAGGGCAGGGCAGGGGTGGCCAGTGTTCGGGCTACCTTTGGGTGGGGTCAACTTGAAGGCAGGTGATGGCATCTTGGGGGGCCACTGTCACAGGCACAAGGAACAGAACAGCTCAGTAGAAGGAAAGCAGTGCGGTTCTTTTCATTAGGAATTTATTTCTCTTAGAAAAACAACAACAGTGGTTGGATCTAGATACAGCAGCACAGTGACGCAGTCGGCAGAACATACAGAGTCAGAGCAGCGCAACAGGGCCGATGTTCAGCAATGACCCAAACGGAACTATTTCATTCACGAATGTCAAAATTTCCCTGAAAAAACTAGAAACCTTTGGATACTAGAAGGATGATGATGTTATCACTACTAACAGCCACTCAGCTCTTCTAAATCGAGAACATTTATTTTGGACCTATTACAAAAATGATTTATCAATGGGCCGGGAAAGACACCTAGATTCTTCTTGGGAAGTGTCTTTCCCTCCGAGGGAGAGCCGGCTTTTCAGGTTTAACCACCGTCTGCAGGGCAAGCCTTGAAGGTCAGCCCAGCCACCGCCCCCCACAGGGTCTGCCCCGCACACTGCACTGCCCAGCTGGGCTGCTTGGTTCAAAAAAGCGAGCTCTGCAGCTCCGATGCTTCAGAACGCACCAGGATTTCACGCTCGCTCTCCTCCAGCAAAGGCTGGGGAGTTTGGAGTCCCTGTCTCCGAGGGTGGGTTATGAGAACAGGCGGCAACCAGGGAGGTTGCCCGAGGAAGGGTACAGGTGCCCACACAGACCTGAGGGCACACAGCAGCCCAGAGGACAGCCGATGCCACCCCGGCCGGCGTTCCCTCTTCATCTCAGTGGACCCTGGTTGTCCACGTGGCCGCGGCTCCCTCTGGCGAGGCTGTGGCGCTCCGTCCGTATTGAGATCCGGTCAGCAGCCCGCATGAGAAAGTCGGTGGGAAACAAATCGGTGACCCCAGCCTTTTGGGAAAGGCCAGGGGTGTGGAAGAATATGGAACTCCCCCGGTGGGCCGGGCTGCTTGGAGAGGCACGGAGACCCCAGCTTCTGGGCTTGCTGGGCTCATGGGCAGGTGGCTACATTCGACTTGTGCCATCAATGCCACGCGTCCCAGTAGGCTGCTTGTCGAGTGTGCACAGAACCAGGCCACGCCACTTTCTTCCACGCAGCTTGGCCTCCCTTCCACCCGCCCTCCGAGACTGGGGGTCCCCTTTGGGAGATCAGAGCATGAAGGAAACAAGCAAACCTGCCTGGGCTGCTTGAGACAGAGCCACACTGAGCTGCGGTGCAAGAGAGCGGCCCTGAAGCTCGTAGTTTAGAAAGTGCTGCTCCGGCCTCAGATGAGGGAAGGGGTTGTGGGATGTGGTCCCCCCCTCCACCCAGGCGGGGTCAGGGCTTCGTGACACTACTGGTGATGCTAGGAGAGCCCTGGGGGTGGGGGGGCTGGTAAATACTTGTCAGTCACGGTGATCATGGCAGAGACTCCCCCCATCCCACTGGGGGCAGCAGCTTGTCTCCTGGAAAGTGGAAGCTGAGACGCTCCTGCAAGACCCCGCGTCTCACCCCAAAGGCACGACGTCAGTGAACGTCTAGTGAACAAACGTCACGCTTGGAGAAAGAATGGCTCTTCTGTGAGGAGCTCAAATGATGTAAAAAAGATTTAAATCCACTCACTGTCCAAATATGCCTCATCCTGGACAGGTGGATGGGTGGAAAGGTGTAGGCTTTTAAGATTTCTTATTAAAAAATACCTTTTAAAAAATGCAGGTATAGGAAACAAGTTGGAGTAGAAGCGAGGGGGCCGGGGAGGAGGGTCAGGGACAGGACCTGTGGGGAACAGGGGACACAGTGGGAGGAGGGCTGACTTTCAGGACTGTTCAATTTCCCTTCTCTTGTACGAAGCAACGGGCCACAAGGGAGAGGAGTGAGGAGGCCAGTGGCTCCGGCCCACGCCCTGCGGGCACTGGCAGGGGACAGGGGAACGAGAAGGGGGCTCTGGCTGTTCTATGTCACGCAGGGCCCCGCACTTCAGCAGTGAGAGTGCTCAGGGCGCAGGGGCACAGGAAGCAGGTCTGTGCTCTCCTCTTGCACCTTGAGGATTCGCCACCACAAACTGCCAATGTGTTGGGCTTCGAGGTATAGAGGCTGGCGTCTCAATGCCAGTCCACATGGTAAGGGTTGGGTTCCTGTGAATTGGGTAAAACAAATGAAACTTCTGGATCGGAGGGTCATGGCTTGGGCTGGTGACTGTCCCAGGAAGACTGTCCTTGTCATTAAGAAAGAACGGTCAGCAAGAGCTCAGGGATCTTAAAATACTAGTCAAAGAGCTTCCTACCTCTTGGCAAAAACTGAATATAGCTGTTTGTATTTACCTTGTATTTGGCCCAAGAAGGGTCATGGAAGCAGCCACTTGAGACAAGAGTTGGTCTTGAAGAAATAATACTGTGCATTAAAGGAGCATGAGGGAAGCCCACTGTTTCTGCTTCCCCATTGCTTGTAAAATGACCTCAAAATGATCGGTCCCAAGGTTAGGCCCCTTTCAAGCAGCAGGCCCGGGACCATGGGCAACATTTCGGAAAAGAGCCTGGAAACTGGGACACAAGGCTGACATGCTTGCCACCTCCCCTCCCTGGAAACTCCCTCCCCACAGCTGCCTGGGGAACCTAGAGAAATGTTGGGATGATCACACCTGCAGACCACAGACGGCCTGAGGCTGCCGCTCTCACACCCTACGGTGCATCAGAAGGACCCGGGGAGCTTTGAAAAGATGCAGATTTCTAGGTTTGGGGCAGAACCTGGAATCTGCATTTTACAGGAGATGCCGGTGCAGGGCCCACGCGGGGAGAAACCCTGGTAGCTGCCCAGTGGCTGAGACCAGGTCTGAGTGAGGCTGCCTGGGTCTCCAAGGACTCAGCCAGGCAGGCAAGCAGGGGAGGTCAACAGCTCACCCTGTCCCAGAGGGTTGCGAGGGAGGATTTGCTCCTGTCACCTCTTGAAGACAGAAGGGGAGGCCAGCGGCTCCCTAGGACCGAATGGCCATGCTCTGAGGGCCAGGGACTGCCTCAGAGGCCCTGGTCTGGCAAAGCCACCAAGTCCTCCTGGGCCCACATGTGCCCGAAACTTTGAGATCCCAATTAGAGCTGGCCTCTGCCCCATCTCTCCCAGGAGGTGACAGTGAGTTTGTCTTGAGCTTCTTTGGTGGCCTGGCCTCTCCTTGGGCATCCCATTTGCTTGGAAACCAACCCCGTCCATACCACCTGGGCCAATGAATCAGTGGGGCCCTGGGCAGCTCTAGAGACCCTATGACCCCGTAAGCACTTAAGGAACGTCTCTGGAGTCCCTGGGCAAGCCCCCCTCCCCTCTACAGACTCATTCAGGGCGACCCGCTGACCCCACTCCGACGCTCCCATGGGCTGCAGAGGTTTGGGACACTCGGGGCTTCACGACTACTCCTCATCATCACTATGCTTCTCTTAAAATAGAATAACACGAAAATCCCCAGACACGTGCCTCTTGAAAACACACTGGTTTTAGCAGTCAGAACCTGCTTGAGAAAGAGAGGCTCAGAGACCACTGTGCTGAAGGCGCCCAGCTGGGCTCACCGGCTGCCTCCCAGAAGGAAGACGAGGCCACGAGCGGCAAAAGCGACAAGGGAAATTGCGGGTCCCGACGGAGCTGGCCCAGGGCAACTCCACAGGCCCCAGCGCAGGATGTGCCCGCTGGGGGTGAAGTCCCAAGGGGGTCTTTGAGCATTTACTTCCGACTCTTACAAGTCAACAGAAGGGTGACACCAAGTGCAAGGCAAAGGTCATAGACATGGATACAACCAATTCTTTAGAGGTGAAACGTGAATCATTTTCTACATTTAATAAAAACGTTTTCTCATTTGAGGCTGTGGAAGTCGAGTCACATTTTTTTGTTTTTTGTAAATCCCCCGCCCCCTCTAAAATGTCTGAAAACGCAGATGGCTTAGCAGTGGCTGCACAGAAAATATACACCCTCAGAGTCCAACTTTCATTTAAATACAAATATACAAAATGTAAACTGAGACGATAGAGAAATTTACAAAACTTTTCTTTAAAAATAATAAAGACAAAATTCAGTTCTAGTTAGGACACTATTAAAATACGTGCAAGTTGTGTCTGATCGGATTTCTATTGCGATATTTGACAAACAAATCCAGTCCACCGCTGGAGGGCGCTTCCGCAGACAGACCTGAGTGGAAATCTCTCTGAGAAATCTGGAGGCTCCCGGAGGGGGTGACGCCTCCTTCCTTCCCGGCTCTGGCTCCGGGAGGGCTGCCTTGCCTGCCCAGCCAGAGAGGAAGCTCCACGGGTCACAGGTTCTGCCTCTAAGGACAAGGGTCTAGGCTGGTCCCACCGTGGACTCCAAGGCTGAGCTGCCACTAGCTGCTTCCGGTGGAGTTTGAGCTGACATGGTTTGAATTTATGTGGTGGTTAAAACTGGTCTTGGAATTGGGCGAACTCTTGGAGTTGTTCTGATGCTGGGAGGCATGAGCAGGGAGAGAGAGGGAGAGAGAAATCAAGTCAGTCCTGTGAGGCCCGCCCTGCGGCCCAGCATCACCGGCCTTCTGAACTCGAGAACAGGGCCGCAGGTCAGGGGCTGCTCAGGACAGCGTCCATGACGAAGAATTAACCTGAAACGTCAGTATGCCAAGGCGGAGAAGCCCTGCTGAAGGCTAACTTGGGGTTGGCCCTGTCCACTCCACCCTGGGGTCCCCTCAGCCAGGAGGTTTCAGGGGCTTCACACAGGCTGCCGGTCTCCCCAGGCTGCTGCTGCCCCCCCAGGCCCTTGAGCCCCCCATGAAAGTAGACTGCAGCTCTGGTCTCAATCGCGTGGATGTTCCTGGGCCCAGGGTCCCTGCAGCTGAGGCCAGGACAGGAGGCGCAGTGGCAGTGGGCTCTCTCACCTGACGCTTGAAGATTCTCTGGAGCAGCCCTTTCTTTGGTGGTTCTGGGGGGTGACTTCTGTCCAGGTCTGGCGAGAGGGTACCGTTAGGTCCGAACACGTTCAGCTCCTTGAAGCATTCTGTTTCTATCATCTGGAGGAGTAGGGCGAAAACACCGGCAGCGTGAGGGGCTGCAGCCGGCATCATGGGTGGAAAGGAGTCCAGGGCCGAGCCTTGAGCCCACACTGTCCCTGAGCCGGGTCCTACCAGGTCGCTCACCACCCTCCGTCTCCTGGGGCCAAGACCCAGAAGGTGCCTGCTCACCACCTCTCCGGATGGACTGGCTCACACCTTCCCTGAGAAAGCAGAAGCCGTCCGCCACCAAACCCACAGCCATCTCCTCCTCACCCCACCCAAGCCCAGGTCACCCCATGTGCCTTGGACCCTCCCCCACCCCATCATTCATTCAACTCTGACTCCAGCTCAATCCCACTTGTGCCTCCAGTTATGGCTCCATCTCCCTCCTTTCCCAGCCGAACTTCTCGAGAGTCATCCACACTGGCCATGTTGTCCCACCTCCTTTTCCCTCTTCCGACCCCACCCCATGATGCCCCAGCAGACCGTGGGGGGCCCTGCCCCCGCCGTCCCTGTGTCTTCCGGCACCTTCCTGGCGAGGCTCCCTGCCCGCTCACCTCGTTCTGCCACGGGATGGGCACGGAGCCGGTGGAGAACTTGGAGTAGAAGTCGTCGTCTGTGTGGTCCAGGTTGACGCCCTTCACGGTGGAGAACTGCTCGATGTCCAGCACGTCCTTACAGTACACGGCCCGGGGCTGGGGGCAGAGCGACCCGTCACGCAGGGCTCTGCCCTCAGCACCACTGTCCTCCAGACAGGCCTGGGGTTTTGATGAGGAAGCAGGGGGATGGCTGGCTGAGGCCACCCCTCCAACCCCGGGCACCTGTGTCGCCCTCCCTCAGATCTGCCAATGGGACCCCGGCTGGGGTGGAACATGAGCTCAGGGCGTCCAGGGCCCGTTCTAACATCAGGCCCTCACATGCCGCAGGTCACCCCCATCTCTGAGCTCACACTCCTTGGCATCTCGGGGAGCCCCCCTCCCCTGCCAGATAGTCTTAGTTCCCCCAAGGCCCACAAGAATGGGATGGGGAAAATGTTTCCAAAGTCATCTCTGTCAGAACGAGGGCTGGCGATCTGGGGCCTCTGGTTCACCACTCCATGGAGAGCAAATGCTGGTTTCCAGGGCCAGGCCAAGGGATGCTGGAGACACTGCTTGGGCGGAACACACAGCCAGGGAGGACTCCCGGGAAGCGCTCTCAACCCCTTTCACACTACAGGGCACCAAGGAGCTCTGCAGCCAGGTGGGCCTGGGCTGGGCTACCAGCCCTGGTGCTTAGGAGCTTAGAAAAGTCACATATCCCCACAGGCCTGTGTCCTCACCTACAAAATGGGCTATAGAAGCATCTGGGTGTGGGGCTGTTGTCGGTACTGCTACTGAGCCTGCTGCCACACCGTGAGTGGGCGGAAATACTGTTCATCTCACTCGGCCCCCGACATGCACTGGGGGCTGCTCTCTGCCAGGACTCAGAGATGAGCCCAGCTGGGCCCTGCCCTCCAGGAGTTCAAAATTGGTAGGGGATGTCTCCCAGGGGCCCTGGGAGCCTGAAGATGAACACGTCATAGAGATGTCTCCAGGATGGACACAGGGGTCCCCCAGCTCCGGTGACATGTCTGCTACTGGAGGGCAGAGGCCACCTCCTGCCCACTGGTCTCCTTGGCCCTGGCTTCGTTCGGCTAAGTCAAAGGTTGAGAACCAGGGCACAGGTTCAGTCTGGGCTGGGGGAGGCTACTCACATCTGGAATGAAGGGTGGGTCCAGCATCCCAGCTTCTAAGCGCTTGAAATTCATGTTCCGGAAGAAGGGGTGTCTCTTGACCTCCGCGGCCCCCTCCTCTTGGCAGCCCAGCCTCTGCTTTGCGTCTTTGGTGAGTAGCTGTGACAACACAGAGCCCCGTGAGGCCATGCCTGATGGCCTTTCCTCCTCTAGGAGGGCAGACCTCTGGTCATCTCCGTCTCACAGGCACGTCCCTGAGACTCCCAGATGTCCCTCCTCCAGTCTTCTCTGGCCTGTGCCACCCCAGGCACCCAACAGACGCTGCCATGACCAGTCAGGCCTTGTTTCAGGGTCTAGATATTGAACCCAGTGGGGAGGGCAATGAGATGCATAAACTTCTGGACCCCAGGAGCAGTGGAAAGTCTTGTGGCCGCCAAGATGGAATAGGGACAGAACCTGGGGCCAGGGACCAGCTTGCTTGCTGTTTGTGGGGAGGCCTTCTCAGGCAGGTGGGGCTGGAACTGCCCAGGGCCACCATAGTCTCCTTATAGTCAGGCCCTACTGTGTCCTGACCTGGTGCCTGCTGGAGGGGGCAGGGCAAGCCTGGCTGCCTGACTAGACAGACTGTGGTTAAGGACACAGAAGCCCAGGGTCATTTGTAAGCAGATGGGGCAAGGCCTTTGGCCATTCTTCCAGCTAAGAAAGATGAGGGAATGTTGGTTTGACATTTGGCACCCAAGTGCCCAGGTCCGCCTGGATCCCCAGCATGGCTGCCGCCTTTCTCTCAGTGGGCACCAGGGGGCAGCAGAGAAACAGCAGCAGCCTGAGGTCCAGGTGCCCCAAAGCCATGTGCCAAAGCAGATGACTATGGGCAAGGAGGGGAACCTCTGTGCCTCTCTGTCCTCTTAGCACGTCCCATGTCCCTTGCCTCTCTGATTCCCCAACCCCGACCTGGGACATCGGTGGTGCTCTGACCTCCCTCTTCTCTCCCTCGCCTAGTTTGGTTCTGCTGGATAGAAACCTCACCCTGACATAACCAAGCATTGTTAGCACACGCACCCCGGTTTCCAAACATCCTTAGAGCCCACATTTCCATTTCCTGCCTTGTGCTGCCCTGCTCCTCCTGTCCCCCACCCAACTCCACGCCCATGATGACCTGTTTGCTTGGCGGCCTCGGGCATGTGGGCAGGCGCCCAGCCACAGGTGGTTCAGGTGTGCTTTTGCATGTGTACATACTTCCCCTCCCTCCGTGTCTCTCACACATGCAAATGACAGATGGCTGATCTAGCCCTAATCTTTCCTCCTAGGGCTCCGTGACGTCAGACTGAAGCTAGAGGGGAAGTGGTCAAGCAACGTATGGACGGGTCCAGGAGAGGGGCCTCCTGGGACCCTAGTGGCGCAGCCTCAGGGTTTCTAGCAGCAGAAGCTCTGCTACTTTTCCTGGGCTCTGGGTCTGCTCCTCTCTACACTCCAGCTTAGCTGTCCAGGCACACGATTTGGAGGTGGGAGGTCCAGCCTGACCACTGCTGCTCCAAGTGCAGTCCCGCCTCAGGAGAGGAAGTCTGTGGGCTCACAGGTATGCAGAGCTGCACGCTCAAGCCCTCCTGTCCCCACGTGGCCGGCATTAGAGGGCAGCTGCCTACGGTTGGGTGCCAGCACAGCTGTGCAGGGCACAGCAGGACTTGGGAGCCGAGAGCAGGAACGGGAAGTGGCCATTCCCCCACAAAGTCCCTCCAGGGTGGGCCCACCTGGGCTGAGGAGAAGGGCAGCGGTCCAGGGGTGGACTCTCTCCCTGCTCCACTTTCGATGGCTTCTGTCACTCCTTCCTCTGTCTGGCTTCCCAGTCCTGAGTCTGTCCCCACCCACCAGCCTATCTAAGCGTCACTCCCCATGGGCGCCCTGCCTGATGGGTCAAATCACACTATCCACAGATGTTGCCATGCAGGTGTGACCAGCATTCCTTTTAGTGGATGGAAAATCCAGTTATAAGATGTTCAAAGACTGAAAATATCACTGCCTCAAGCCAGCATGCAGGGACGCAGAGCTGGAGGGAGCAAGAGGCCCAAGGTCAAGGTAGGGGCTTGGCCTAAGATCCCCTTGTATCTTGGGGATCAGCTGGGATCAACTTTCTCCCCTATGCTGCGTTCCCCCACAAAACTAGATGCAAGGGTGTCACATGCTGTTCACTTCAGCCCCCTGCCCTTGTCATGGTGCCGTCTTTCCCTGACCCCAGGCTTATTCCTGGAGCCTTTGCCAACCACCCCAGCGAGGAGCACCGACTCCTCTGGCTTGGTGGCTTGACCCTGTCCTCCTTGTCCTGCTGGGAGTGGGGAGGGGAGCCAGCACTGGACACGGGCCTGAGGACAGCGTCTGGCTCACCAGCTCACCATTTTGCAGATGGACTTGGCCTCCTCGGAGAACTTGTGGGAGTACACCTCCTCGGTCTCCAGGACCCGGCGGTCCACCTCCTCCCGCTTCACCTTCTCCTTGCGACCTCGAAACGGTGACTGGCCCTCGATCATCTCATAGATGAGGCATCCCAGGCCCCAGTAGTCAGGGCTCAGGCCGTACCTCTGGTTGTTTAGAACCTCTGGAGCTGGGGGCAGAGGAGGGGAGTGAGGCGAGGTGAGAGACAGCGGGTGGCAGGACAGAGCCGGGGCACCCAAGCTTGGGGTTGTGACTCATGCCAGCCAGGCTTCAGGCATCCTGCTCCCAGGAATGATGACGTTGCTCACAAAAGGTCTGGAGCACCATGGCTGCGAGAGCTTCCCCCTGTGGACTCCTACTCACCAACTGCTATAAATACCACCTCCTCCAGGAAGCCCACCCAGATTGCTGTCCTCGGTGCTCCCAAAGGACTCTGACTGGCTTCAGTAGCCTGACTACAGTGGAGAACTGGAATTTTCCCTTGAAGTCTCCCCCACTAGAATGTGAGCTGCCAGTAATGGGTATACCACCTGGAACACAGCGGGCACTGCATGCACATTCCAATCAATGAAGGTATGTTCGTACAAATTAAAGATAAGTCAAAGTTTATCTGAAATTCAAACAGCCTCTCACTATGGATTCCCTACTACTTTCATAAAGTGACTTATAGATTCACCATAGAAGCTCAAAAAAGATAGTTTCACGTTATCAGGTCGGCCACACATGCATCCATGCATGTGCTGGTCTGCACACAGCAGAGGACGTGCAGACAGATGCTTGCCACAGCATACATGAGGCAGACAGGCACATCTATCTATCAATCTATCTATCTATCTATCTATCTATCTATCTATCTATCTATCTATCTATCTATCATCTATCTACTATTAATCTAATCTAATCTAATCTATCATCTGTCCGCCCATCCATACATCCATCAGCAGTTGCATGGGTATACACAGTCAATACATAGAGACACCCCCACACAAGTTCCCAAATTTCACACATTCTAAGAAGGACCCTCTAGCATAGGTCAACATACAGAGTCCCGTGCATGTGCTGCTGACAGGAGCCTGGCAGAGGAAACAGCGCCCTGGGACCCCAGAGCCTCCTGGTGCCCCACCTCCTGGGGCGAATGGGCGCATGTGTGAGGTGTGCAGGAGGAAGCCCAGGGGCCATCCCTGATTGGAACGGGGATTCCTAGCAGACAGGATGTAGCTGTAGGTCTCTTCCCAGGACGATGGTCTGGAGTCAGCTCAGAGGAGGCAGGGCAGGGGATCCTAGGCTGTTCTCTGCTTAGACTTAGAGTCATGCTTGGTGACACAGGCAGTGTGCTCCTCTCCGTGCTGAGCCCATCCTAATGGCCTCCCTCCTGTCAGGGGTCTCCCTGAAATGCTGTCCACCAGCCCACTGGACCCTGACTTAAACTGGGCCTCTTCCTGAGCATCGCTGTGTGCCAGCCTCGCCACTGACTCCGAGAGTAATTGGCTGTAGACGCAGGTGGGGCTGAGTTGGGCGTTGCAGAGAACTCAGTTTAGTCAAGTCACACCTGGGGCCCCAACGTTACACCCACCCTAGCTGAGACCTCCTACCTCCCACAGAGACCCTACTTCTGATCAGAGTTGCACAAAAAGGCCAAGGCCCCAAGGGGTGGGCTGGAGGAGGGGCCACACTCGCACTCACCCATGTAGCCAACGGTGCCCACCCGGCCTCGGATCAGGTCTCCCTCAGGGATCTTCACAGCCAGGCCCAGGTCAGAGATCCTAATGTGGCCTGAGGGGGAAGAGCAGGGTCAGTGGGTCCCTGGAACAGTCACATGACACTGGCCCACCCTGGGCCCGGCTACAGACTTGCCACGTGCCCCTGGGCAAGGCACCCAGACTCAGTGTTTCCATCTGTCCTGGGAAGAGGGGGATCCCAGTCTCCTGTCAGGGTGACTGCAGGCCTTGGGGAAGTCCAGGTGTCAGAGGATGTGGGCGAATTGCTCCTTTAGGAGATAAGCAGACAGATGTAGAGGCCGCCTGCATCTGGCCGGACGCTGGCCAAGCTCCCTCATAAAATGCTCTAATGGGCTTCTTGGAAGGCTGAGGTCACCGAGTTGAAAGCGCTTGGCCTGGTTCTGGGATTGCTTCACGGAAAAAATGTGAGATTCTCCTGACATTTTGCAACAATTTGCTTCAGGGGAAAAATTATAAAGCAATTTGGGAAGCAACTTCCTGCTCTGCCCAGATGGGCTTCAGAGGTTGTTTTGTCCCTCTAAAAACAACATGGGAAGATGCCCAGGCCCCGGGAGACTGCGAGGTAGTAAACTGGAGCTCCTGGTCCTAGACTGAACCCCCAAAGCAGAGACGATGCTCAGCTGAAAGGTCAGCCTCGGTGTTGTCTCACCTGTGGCTCACCCAGGGGCAAGGGGTGCTTGTCACGGACACATCTGACCCTGCAGGAAGGAACACTGCTCCTCCCCCCATCTGTGGATGTCAGGCCCCCACAGCCTGGACCTCAGCAAGGCCCACTGACAGGGACCCTGGCCAGGTCAGAGCTATGTGGGTCCCCCAGCTCTGCAGCCCCTGACAAAGGCAGGAAAGATGAAGGGAGCATGTGGATTCTAGCCATGGGGATTCAGGTCAGTGGTGGGCTTGGCTCTGAGACCAACAGGGACAGGAACCCCAGTGGGGCCCTGGGCCCTCTGCCTGCTGCTCCATAGGGTAGCATCACTAGGTCACCAACATGCTGAGGAGACCTGGTCTCTGATCTCAGCTCCCTACTGATATTGCTAGGTGACCTTGGCAGCTTGGCTCCTCTGAACCTTAATCTTGTCATCTGTAAAATGTGGTCAGGGATGCCACTCTGTGGAGATGGGCAGATCTAGTCAGATTAAAGATGTTAAAACCACTTCCCACCATTTAGTGTGTGAGGCTAAAGAGTCATGAGGGGTGACTGTGGCTGTCCTTGTTACCCATGCGAGAAAAAACAATGATGATGCACAGATACTAATGAATAACACATTTATCACCGGCTATGGCTGACTAAACAACTTCCCCTCAGCTATCTTGTCAGAAACAGAGAAGTTGTGTGAGTGCAGTATTTGCCCAACTGAAATTCTGGACGCCTCATCTCATTCCCCTCCAGTTCTCTTTTCTCTCTCTCTGCCCAGCCACATTGTTCCTCCAAGTAGGACCTTTGTCCATGCCCACTGTCTTCTCCGGATTCCCAGGACTGAGGAGAGGGCGTGGGTCCTCCCCACTACTTGCCCACTGCCCTCTGTTGGGCCCGGGGTGGGTGCCCGAGTCTCTGAGAGGCCCTCTACTTTGAGTTGCAATGCTCCCCTCAGCTACAGAGTAGGAGAAGGATCTTCCCGGCCACTTCCCGACTTACCATAATCATCTAACAGGATATTTTCAGGTTTCAAATCTCTGAAAGGGAAAGACCACAAGCATGTGAGGGCGGGCATTCTGGGCAGCAAGGGCACACTGGTGTCTCAGTTGACCCCCGGGGGCGAACCAGGCCTGAGTGTTTCCTTTCTACCTCTTGGCTTGGGTGTCTGGTCTCTGGGTCAAAACAATCTTGGGCTAATCTCTCCTCCCACTGCTTTTCATAGGCATCTTCTCGACCCTGGAGAGTGACTAGGAAGGAGGTTAGGCAAAGGCTGGTCCTGGCTCCTGTGCACAGGCTGCCAGCCCCCAGGGCTGGGAAGCCCCTGAGGTCTCAGGGTGCCCTGAAGGCAGAGCAGGGTCTGGGAATAAAGGAAGAGAGTTACTGAGAACAAAGCACCAGCTGCAGAACCGGGACAGGGAACTGCAGGGAAGGGGATGGCAGCCCCAGGAGAAAGACCCCTTTGGTACCCCCCCCACCTGGCACACCTCCCAACGCCAGCTGAGCTACAGTCTAGAAGAAAGTACCAAGCCAGAAGGCGTGCCTGTAGGTGTGGCCACCTTCTCCTGTCCCCAGTGTCTGTCTTCTCTTTGATGAAACTGATGCTCTTAAGAAAGGGGACCTCTCCATTCCCAGGAGGGGGCAGGGGCAGCAGAAGGGTCTGGTTTTCGTATAAAGGGGCTCCCCAAGGGTAAACCAGCGGCCAATAGGGTGGCGTGTGTAACTCAGGTAAATCGTTGGGCAAACAATACATGGCACCTGGACTGAGAATTGCTCTCAACCAACTGGCTTTGTTTACTTAACTGACAGCAGCTGTCCTTATGGGGAGCGGCTCACGTACCCCAATCCAGTGGTCAGTCTCACAGTGATAACTGGAGTTCGTATGCAGTTAAGCATTATAAAACACATTTTCTTTGCTGTTATTTAGTTTGCATTCTTTTGATGTGTTAACAATTCCAAATAAGGACAAGAGCCCTCGTTTCCCTACACCAGCTGGCCAGTGGGCACAGGCCAGAACCAGAGTCCACAAGAGGCCATGGTAAGTGGTCAGACTTGAACTCAGAAGGCTACCTTTTTTTTTTTTTTTTTTTTTTTTTTGAGCAAAGGGCAATCAAGTGGAGAATTCTTTTTTCAACCCTTAGGAAAACTGCTCTCTCTTCTCACTTGAATGAAAACCAAACAAAAGCACCACTGGGGAGGTGGTTGAGAGGGAAGGGCATGCCGTTGAGACCTCCCTTCTTGTTTTCAAAATCTTCTTGGTCTCCCAAGATGATCTCCACCAAGAGCTCTGTGGCGAAGGTCTTCAAGCTGGGGTGTGTGGGGCTGGGGTGTGTGGGACTGGGGTGTGTGGGACTGGCGTGTGTGGGGCTGGGGTGTGTGGGACTGTCCAGGAGACTCCAGGTGGGAGCGCTCACCTGTAGACGGTGTGCTCCAGGTGCAGGTCTTCCAGGCCGCATAGGATCTCTGCCGCGTAGAACAAGGCCCGCTCCTCCTCGAAGCCGGGGTTCCCCATGTTGTAGATGTGGAACTTTAGGTCGCCCCCATTCATGATGGTCAGAACCAAGCACAGTGCGTCCTTGGTCTCATAGGCGTAGGCCAGGTTGACCTGGGAGCATAAGATAGCACCAAGGTGAGGTTCTGCCACTGGCCCCCACTTCTGCCCTTCCTTTTCAGGGTCCTTGAAGCTGGGGGAGGGCTGGGGACAGGGCACAGTTGAGGAAGATCCAGGCCCTTGAAGATATGACACTCTAACCCTTTCCCCAAGTGGGTCCCACCATCACCAATCCAAAAAAGGGCAAACACTGCCCCTGTGGGCTCCACGGGCGGCATGGAGGCAGTGGCCAGGGGTCCCTACTGAACCAGGAAGCGGGCTAGCGGCACAGAGGAAGGCTCTGGACTCAGAGAATGATGGCTGGTGTTAGTCTCGACCACCGTCTCCCACACAGCACATCACCCCGGGTGGGGCTGGCAGTGGAGACAGGCTGGGATGAGACCCAGAGATGCACACTTCTGACCCTTTAAGTGTCACCTTATGAATCCGCCCCCTCTCTGGGGAATGATGGAAGCTCTGGCATCTCTGATGGCATCTCTTGCCTCACATAGCTGGTAGGAGTTTAATGTGGATGACCTTCATGGACAGCCACTTGGGAACAGCTGCCACATGGAAAAAGCGCACACCCTCTGACACAGCAATTCCTCAGCCAAGGAACACGGCCCACGGGTGCATCCACAGAACACACCCAAGGGATGTTCAGGGCAGCCCCGCAGCCCCATGCGCAGCGGCTTAAAACCAGGAGCTCTCTCCCGTGGGATTGGCCACACAGGTTAGGGTTTCTCTCTTCCGTGTATATCAAGGGGAGGGTGCACAGTATTTTTTTTAAGGTGCGGCTATAAAACTGGATATTGAAAAATAAAAGACCTACATTTTTAAGGGGAAAAACACTGCAGAATAACTGTCTAGTAAGATCCCACTGGCTCAAAGTAATGAATCCAACATGTTGGATGGTTACTCAGAGAGGGAGGCTTCTGTTTTGATTTTGGATCTGTCTGTGCTCTTGGAATTTCTACCTTGTACACATATTGTTTCTTACAGTGACACGTAGCAGACATTTAGAGCTGACCATATATCCACGTGCTCCTCCATATTTCCCCGCAGTTGGCTTGTCCCCTGCAGTGACTAGCTCTGGCCAATGGGCTGTGGGTAGAAGTGACAGCTGAGGCTGTGACAGTCCCTGCTCGTGCCCCTTGGCACACACCTCCCTGACTCTAGACAGGGTAGCTGTAAGGTGGGGGGTGGCCTGATCTGACTGGACCCTATGTGAGTGACAGAACGGTCTTCGCTGTTTTCAGCTACTGTGAGTCGGGGGAAATTTGTTACTGCAGTAGAGCGTGGCCTAGATGGAGAAACACAGCAGATACACACAAGGTGGCGTCTCTCAGAATATTGACACTGAGGTGTCCCCATGAGAAACCAGTCTACAGGGGTCTATGGAAACACAGCTGCTTTGCCGAACCCAGGGTGGGCTTCTATTGTCCACCAGGCAGTTTACAAGGTGATCCTGCAGAACAGAGGCCTCGGTCCCACACATGGAGGGGAGCCAGGCTCGCTCTAGTGACAGGACCAAGTCGGCCATAGTGGACCCAGAGGAGCCCTGGGATGGAGGTGGCATCTGGCTGCCTTCTGCAGGTATTCCTCTCACTGCAACCCATCTTCCTGGGGATGGGCAGCCGCCACGCTAGAGGGCCACCCACTTCCTAAGGCACAGAAGCCCTGGTCGCCAGAGCGTCACTGGGCCCGGGACACTCACCACAAACCGACTGTTGACCTTCTCCAGGATCTGCTTCTCGTTGAGGGCCATGGACTCCCCTTTCCTCTTCTTAATTCTCTTCTTCTCCAAGCGCTTGCAGGCATACATCTTCCCCGTGGCCCGGACCTGGCAGGCACAGACCTGCGGCGCACGAGAGAAGCCAAGGGCGAGGGGCGTGAGGCCCGCTGGGAGCTCCTCCGTGGCTGGGATGCTGGCTCTCGGGGCTGGGGACTGATGGAGCCAGCACCAGCCATGCCAGGATTTGGACCCATGGCTCCCTGGGGCCCCACCCTTGAGATCTGACTTCAGTGCCACCTCGCCCCCCCTCCTCTTCCCCTTAGGTGGACACCAGCTCTTGAAGGTGCAGAATGAGCCACTTACACCAATGCTCAGATGGCTGGCTGAGGCCTAAAGTCCCATCCCTCTCTCAGAGGCAACTAGATTTTCTGTCCTAAGCTTCCGACCAGATGTAGTCATTGCTAACTGGGGGCTTTCAAGTACCAGCTGCAGGCAGAAGGTGCTTCTTGGGGGATCAGGGATAGGAGATGCCTGGAAACCCTGAATGTATAATTCAGAGGAACAGGAAACAGGGCATTTGGGTTCTAGTCTTAGTTCTGGCCCTTACTGGCTGTGTGCCCTTGGCCAGGTCACCTAACCATTCTGATTTTCAGTTTTCCTCATCTCTGAATGAGATTCACAGGCTTACCTCACTCTTGGGGAGATTAGATAGAGCACAACAGTGCTTAATAAGAGTGTCGTCTGGCCCTCATGCCCTCATTTCTCCCTCCAAACACAGCCAAGAGCACATTTCTCTTTTCCAGACTTGAACCCTGCCCGAGGCTGCCTCCAAGAGTGCTCCATTCTCACCCCCAGCCCCAGACAGCAAGGGCTGCTCCCCACCCTCCTTCCCCAATTCAGACACATCTGACCCTCCCAAAGGCCCCAGCCTCACCCTCCTCTCCACCAGGGGGCCCATGACCAAGCAAACATTGGGAACACCTTAGGCAGATCCAGAAGGGACAGAAAAGGTGACTAGAGTTTGGGAACTTTGAACCGAGAACGTGGATGTTCACTCACCTCCCCAAAGCCCCCTTTTCCCAGCACTCGGTACTGCCTGAAAGTGTTTTTGGTTACCGGTTGCCTGGAAAAAAGCAAGAATCATGGTGTTAAGATGTATAAGCCATATGCAATAGAGGACAGCAGCACTGAAATAGGCAGGGCAAGGCGCAATTCCATGCCCCAGGGGACCCCAGGAATCATCCTGCAGAGGGGCCCCTCCAGGGCTTACTCTGGGACTGGGTATTCAGATCCCAGGCCACCTGCCCCTGGGGCCCTGCAGCCTGGGAGAAAAGCAGATGGGCAGAAGGCTTGACAAGTGAGAACCAAAGCAGCTTCATGGGACTTTCCCTGTGGTTCCCCCTCTCTCCCAAACGCAAATCAGGTGGCTAAACTCAGAAGGAAGCTGTGAGGCCCATGCAGGGAGGGGGCGGGGCCAGGAGCCACAGCGGTTCAGTGTCCCAGGGAGGACATGACGGACAGCGCCCTCCCCACACCGGCGCATCTCAGCCTGCCCAGCAGCACTGCCGCACTTCCAGCCTTTCCACCTCCGAGGGCCTCTTTACTGTTTCCCCCAGAGCTCCAACACTGGAAGATCCTGTCTGCCCAAAGCGGAATTTATGAAGTCATAATCGCTTGGTGTCTCCCAACTCCCCATTTTAATTAGCAAAGCCATGTATCATGTCCACTCAGACAGAACCTCTGACCACAAGGCAAGCACGGGAGGTCTTGGAGTAAAGAAACAGATGGTTCTCTGGCTGCCCCGAACTTTGGGCTGCGCATGGCTTGTGCTTTTTCACTGTGGGCCTGTTTGGCGTTTTTTCAGCTTCATTGTGGTATAACTGACAGTGTACAGCTTGATGTCTGATATATGTATACACTGTGGAATGATCACCACAATCAAGCTAACTAACATTCTATCACCTCTACTACCTCTTCCTTCTCTCCTTCCTTTCCTCCTTCCCTCCCTCTTTCTGGTGAGAACACTGAAGATCTACTCTTTTAGCAAATTTCAAGCACATAATACAGTGCTGTTAACTATCATCACCATGCTGTACATTAGACCCCTGGAACCTATCCATCCCGCGTAACTGAAACTTTGTACCTTTTCCCCCATTTTCCCGCCCCACACCACCCGGGCAGCCAGCATCCCACTGTCTGCTTCCAGGTATTTGACTATTTAGATTATAATAGTCATATAAGTGAGGTCATGTGGTATTTGGCTTTCTGTGTCTGGCTTGTGCCACTTAGCAAGTGTCCTCCAAGTTCATCCATGTTGTCATAAAATAGCAGGATGTCCTTCTTTTTTAAGGCTGAGTAGTATTCCACTGTGTGTGTGTACACACATTTAACCCTGTGTTCACTGCAGCATTACTCATAACAGCCAAGATAAGGAAACAATCCATATGTCCATCAGCTGGTGTGTGAATAATAGTCAGCTCTGCAATGTTAACACTGGCTCTTGGAACCAGAGCCGTTTTTGAGCATCGCCCAATCTCCCCCTCAAGAGTCCCAAACAGGGTGGAGGCTGGAGTGAGACTGAACTGGGCCAAAGAACTGGGTCAGCTCAAGACAGACAGTGAGCCTCTGGTCACAGCAGCTCCTGAATGAATCTTCCATGGAAACTCCCCGGCTGCCGGATCCTGAAGAGGATTTGGCTTTTACCAGAAAGCCCGTCACTGTTCTCGTAGGATGGCCCCGAGACCCCAGGGCGCTCCCGGGCATACTGCCTGGAATTCACGTGCGTGACTCACTCTCTCTTCCTTGGCGCATCTCTGAGAAGCAGGGCCCAGTCCCTGTCAGCAGCACAGGCTGCCCCTCTGCAGGACTCTCCACCGCTCTCTTTCTCCTGCACACGAGTGGCCAGGGCATTGGAGAAACCTGCCATGCGCCTGTGCCCGCTGTCACCCTGGGACCATTTCCTACAGCTGCCTTCAAAACCGCCTGAAGGTGCCGGGCCCAACAGTTCATGCTACACAGAGGACGAACAGCTGGTTGGCACTGCCCAGGTCTCCTCCTCTAGGGGAAATAGGTGCAACACAATTTCCAAGGAACCTCTTGGTTAGCCTTGGGAAGGAAAAATCCCTTTAATATTTCAACAGTACAGCGCTAACAGGCCGTGGTCTTGGTAGTAGTGGAGAAAAAAAAAAAAAAAGGGAAAGGGGGTTGTCAGTCATTTAGGACATCTCTAGGCCAGTGTCCTGCCCTATTGGCTTCAACAACTTAATGGAAAAGGGCTTAACGTCTCAGATTTTAAAAGTCCATTTCTTGCGCTTGGTATAGACAAGTAAAATGAAAGCCAGTGGCCACAGCTAAATGATTCTATTGCAACAGGAGTGTCAGGTAGAAGAACTTGGGTGAGGGACCTGGAGTTCAGGTTCCAGCCTTGCCAGGCCCTTGCTGTGTGACCCAGGGCCAATCCGTCAACCTCTCTGAGCCTTGCATCTTCAATAAAATGGAGATATTTAAAAGGCATTTGCATCCAAAGGCTTTCTAAAAGCTGCTGTGTGTCAGATGTCATTAGGATTCTAGGAATAAAGGACATGGCCCCCTCTGGGGGGTCTCTATGGTAACAGTTCCCACCACTCGAAGCATCTTGTACATGGACTCATGTAATCCTCATACCAGCCTTGAGAGGTGAGACTAGTAGTCTCCATTCTGCAGTCAAGAACTCTTAGGCTTTGAGAGGTAAAATGAGTTGCCCAAGGTCATGGCTGGTAAGCGGTGGGGTTGAAATTAGAGCCCAGGCAGGAGCTCACATTTGACATCTGACCCCATGCTGCAAACCCGGGGAAAGTGGGTGCAGATGGGGGTAACATGTTACATGGCCCAGGGCTCCAGGGTGGGGTGTGGGGCTCGATGAATACACCCCACCACTGTCCCGTGAGCATCAGAACCGGGCCTGACCCTCCACTAGTCTCAGCTGCTCCTTCCAATCCCAGACATACGAGGATGGTGGTCATGCAGGCGCTGGTGACCTTGGCAATGACCACAACAACTGTATCGAGCAGTTTACTCCTGGGGCAAATGGCTGAGCTTCGTCGAGCACCTGCCTTGTCCTGGGCATGTGCTGCTGCTCTCGTCTCACCCTCGCCCAAGACCACAAGGCAGGCACTGTACTACTCCCACTGAAAGAGGAGGAACCGGGGTGGAGGGTGGGCAGCCCTTCCTGAGGCCCCTCTGGGGGAGGTCGAGCTGGCACTCAGACCCAGTCCGTGGGTTCCATGCCTCAGCAGGATGTTGTCGCCGGCCCTTCGCTCCTTGGTCTTTCCCGCAGCCATGACGTTCAGGTGCAAGGTGACCAGTGGCAGCCACTGGGCTAACAGAAGGCTGTCCCCTGCTCCCTGTCATCCCCACTGGTCGGGTGGAGAGCAACGCCCTCCAGTGGCTGACAGGCAGGGTGTTCTCTGGGCTTCCGGAGGTGGGCAGGGCAGGGCCGCGATGGAGCTTCCAGTGGGTTTCTGTCTTGTAGCTTCCTGAGCCTTTGCAGGGGACTGGGCCAGCAAAGGTGTTAATGCACATGCAGGTCAGGATGGCTCCTTGCCCTAATCACATGGGCCCACGTGGCCATGAGTGCCAGGCCTCTGGGGCATACGGAACTCGGGGCTGTGGAAGGTGAGCTCCCACCCGTCTCCTGGCTCAGCCCGGTGTGGATTTCACGCAGGCATCCCTGCGTCCTGCACATCCTGGAACGTGGTGGTGGGCAGAGTGCTGTGCAAGGGCTCCTGGGCCAGGGTCCCCCTTGGCTGCATTGCTGGCCTGGTGGGTGACGAGGCCAGCCATGCCCTCTCTGTCTCTCCCTCCTCGTCAGTCACATCTGCCCGGCTGAGCCACCGACGTGCACGTGAGAGCACTTTGCAGAGAATAAGGCAGAAATAAAACATGGAAACACGCTTCCTTGGCCACTACTAGAGACGGAAACAAACAAGAGGGCTCACTGCCGGGAGGAAAGGACGAGAACAGCGCTGATGAGGCGGCCCTGGCACAGGCAGGGCTGGAAACTGGGGGCAGCTGTTGGGGAGGGCAGCTTGGCCGTCCCTCACAGTTCCAGACTGGTGCTCTCTGACCCCACAACCCCTCTGCTAGGAATTTCTAAGGTTGGACTTGCAAAAGTACATAAAGACATATGTACAAAGTTTTTCGTTACTTAGGTAAGGTTGCACACAAAACAGAGCAACCTCCATGTCCGTCAATAGGGGGCTGGGTTAAATAGGGGATGTGCAGCTCATCAAAGAATATGGCTGGCGGAGGAAGAATTCTCAAGGACAGAGAGAGAGAACAAGATAAGATGCCAGATGCTGTGAGCACGCGAGCGTGAGTGGGAGTGTGTGTTAAGTGCACTTTAGTAAGCTTAGAGGGCCTCCAGAAGAACACACACAGCTTAGTTCATAGGAGGACGGTCAATTTTATCTGTTGGCCCATGGAGGTAACTGATTTTTATATGACTTCTCAGGTGAAAACCTGTCCCCCTCCACCCCAACACACATGCTGGCACACACGCATGGGTGAGGAGCACAAAGGGAGCACTGACCTTTCTAACCACTTCCACTGGAGAAAGCGGTCAAAATACATGCTGTCCAGGTACTCATGGAAGGGGCCTCCACTCAGGTAGTCGTGGACAGACCTGGCTCGGAGGGAACACAAAGAAACATTTTATAATCCTGATCTCGAAGCAGATGGGCAGAGCCATACCCAGCAGGTTAACGCCCAGCCTCATCCATTCCCAGACTTTGGAAATGGAAACTCACAGGGGCCAGAGGCCCCATCATTCTAGAAGGCTGTTTGAGATTGCCTGGCTAATCCCACAAACAGGTACCAAGTACCTGCCATGGGCATACTCTAGGCCTGGGTAGAGCAGTGAGCATTTGGGTGGCATCATGATTGGGTAAATAACAAACATTAAATAAATGACCCCACGGACATGTTAGGAATTAGAGTTGAGTGAGGTCCCTGGGGGGTCAGAGAGATCTCTCTGTAGAAGGGACAGGAGCTGAAATGACAACAGAGACAGACTTAACTGGGTACAAGGGAGGGGGAGAAACTCTGAGACAGTGGGTGGTGTGAGGCCGAGTGGGGATGCAGCCCCTGAGGGCCCAGGCTCTGGACTTGGTCCAGGACCAGCAAAGCCACAGGGAGATTTCCATCCCTGCAGCAAAATCTACTCGTCACCTGCTGTGGGTCCAGCCCCAGGCAGGGCCTGGAGGGTTTGGAACCTGGCTGCAGGCACTTGGGACCTGGGGAACGAGGGGACATGCAGAGTGGGGGCATGTTGGAGGCTGTGTCCTGCCAAATCCAAAACCCAGGGCTGGCATGGGGGGGGTCAGGATGGCCACTCCCTCAGGGGGACAGCCCAGGGACCTCACCCATTTTCAGACCTGACCCCTGGCCAGCTCCAAGAGGGCAGCAGCCAGACTTGTTTCTGCTTGCGCCCAATCAATGTCTGTGGTGCACAGGCTGAACAAGGGCACGTGAAAAGCCCCCAGACTCATCAGCTGTGGGGGGGGATCTGGCTCCGGATGCCTCTTGGCATGTAGGTATGTTTGTGTGCACACCTATGGGGGGTGGTGCATGTGGTCACATGAACATATGTGTGTGTCATGCCTTTGTAGTGTGTGTGTGGGATGGGTGGGGGCTTAATTGGTACACAGCTGGCACCACAGCTGCCGACTTGTCTCCTAGTCCATTAGGGTCGCTATATATGTCCTGCAGAGGTGATGGGATACGGCAGAAAAGGCAGCCTGCAGCCCTCTCTAGCAGCAGCGCCAACGGGTGGATTGGTGGCAGAGGTGGGGCTGGGGGCCTGGGGAGGATTTCCAAACCACCTGGACTGGGTCAAATTGCTGTACATTCCTGGGTCGCAACAGCCTAGGAGCCACTGCTTTCAACACCCTTTGAAGCAGATGTTTTCTTTGGACTCAGCCCCTGGTATCTGTTTCCCTTCTTAAGGAGTATACAAACATCTGGGTGGCTTGGCTGGGGCCCTTGGCCACTGAAGACCTGCCCCTGGTGCTCAGTGCTCCAGGTGGAAGCTAGTGGTAGCCCCCATCTGGGCGGCTGTGTGGCTACCAGAGGAGCTGAGGGGCCTGACATCCCGGCCCGGGGAGGGAGGAAGGCTGGCTGCCCGGAGGCCAGGCCACCGGAGCACTTACTGTGTGCAGGCGGAAAAGAGCTCTTTGCAGGGCCTCTGATGGAGCTTCTCCTCCGTCTGGGAGACCAGGTCCCGGCCAACTTGGGCAATGAAAACTGGGGACTGGGGGGAAGAAGAAAAGAGGAAGCAGTCAGTGAGGGGGAGCAGCAGGGTGCTAGGGCCATCCACAGGTGCTGGGCATGGGTGTGCCTTCCCGTCCCGCCCACACCTAGCTCTGGGCCGCCTGCACAGTGTCCGGTGGTGCAGGGAGGAGGCTGAGCTGGAAGGTCGTGAACAAGCCCAGGCCTTGGGTTAGATTTTTGCTCTGCCACTTTCAGCTGGTGTGACCTCATGGAGGTCACGTGGTTCCTGTGAGCATCACTGCCCTGGTCTGCAGAACATCAATAATGACGTCCTGTGTCCTGGGCCTGTGGTCAGACCAAATGAGGTGTGAGAGTGCCCATGGTATGAGGAGCTGTGCATGCAGCCCAGATCATCAGCACCCAAGCCCCACCCAAGCCCCCCGAGCTTGCTGACATCTCCCAGTCACACTGGGGCTGTCTCCTCAGAGGGTAGACTCGAGGTGAACACCTGCCCAGCCTCCAGGTCATGTGTAAAAGGGTCTGGAAGGGGTAAAAGGGCAAGTGAACAGGGTGGCACAGCAGCCAGGGGTGGGGAGCTCAGCAGCTCTGATATATAGCTTCGGCAGTGACACACCAGGATTCCAATCCCACATCTGCTACTTGTAGCTGTGGGGCCCTGGTCTTGAGTGCTCAGCTTTAGTCATCAGGAAGATGATCAGAAATAACAGTTTATCCCAGAAGGAATCAATGCAACTCTAGGTCAAGCCTTTGGCCCAGATCCTGCACATAGTAGGAAGTGTGCAGTAGGTGTCACCACTGTCATTTCCTTCTCCTCCTTGGTTAAGCTGCCTGGCCTGAGCATGTCAGGTTTGAAGGACAGCTCCAAGTTTCTGCATCCTACCCAGAAGCAGCAGCAACCTCTGGGAAGGCAGCTCCTCCCACACCCATCCCTCCCCCCACCAATCACCCTCCACTAGCTGTTCACTCACCAGCTGGGCCCCAAGGTGGGTTTTTAATAAATTACAGGAATAAATGAGAAAATTGCCAGAAGTGGGCTCAGAAAGACAGGGTGCAGATGCATCTTTTCCAAATATGCTGAAATCTGAAAGATGTGTTTTCTTCCCAGCTATTAAAATGTGACCATGGGACCGATTATTCTGCTAAACCCACTGCGTGGTGTCTGGGGATTTTGATCCTGAGGGTGGAGGCGGAGCAGCCTGGCATGGCCCCGGTGAATGAAACCAGGGGCTCACCTTCTATTCCCCAGTGTTCCGAGTGCCCACATGCCTGCCTTCTCTCTTCCTCTCCCAGGCCCGCCCTCTCTGCAGGTCTTCCCCTGCCATGGGTCCTCCCAGCCCCTGGGTGGGGGAGCCGCTGTGATGGTAAATGCCATGCTACCCAGTGCAGAAGCAGCCAGTTACACCACACATCTCAGAGCATCTCCCAGATGGCTGTTGTCGCCAACCCTGGGGGGCAGTGGCTCCCTCCCACCCTCCGTCCCCATGCTGACAACTTAATGAGACCGCAGAAGAGCGACCAGTAGAGTGTCAGCTGCTGGAGCTCCTTGCTGCTCCTTTTGTAGAAAAGATGCTCGACCAACAGGCTGGAGCCCCAAGCTTTGGGCTGACCTCTGCCCTTCGCCATCTTGGGCCTCCACCTGCTCCCCTGTAATAGGAAGGAACCGCTCCAGAAATGCCCACGGGTCCTTCAAGACTTGGGAACTGGTGGTTGGGGTCTTTTGCTTTTAAGTCTTGGGAACTTTCTTGGGAATTCTGGCAGCTGAGCCTATTGCGGATCAATAATTCCAGACTACTCCAGAGCAATGGAATATAAGATTGAGGCCATGGGCAAATTCGATTCAGGAAGAGAGCTGAGTGGCTGGGGCAACCTTGCTTTAAAGGACCCGGAGGCTGGCCCAGAACTGGTGCAATGTATTGTGCCAGGATGTGACTGGAACCCAGTTGAGTCAGCAAAGACCAAACAGCCATGCTGGGGGGGTGGGCCACCGCTTTGTCATTGGATTTCACCCAGGGAGGACACCCTTACCCCCAGGAGGCCCAGCCTGCGCTGGGCAGCCAGGAGAGGGGCCAGGAGAGTTAAAAGATGAAGCCAGTGTGCCCCTTGACCTCCAGCACTTTTTCTCTGGTGAGACACACATGAGACAAGGTAAGGTCCTGCAGAGAAGCCCTTCCCCTGTTCTTGGTCAGATGTGGTCGTGTACGAATGAAATGGGCTGGCTGGAGTCCATGGCTCTCACACTTTTTTTTTAAACCAGCAAGATTTCTCCTCGCCCAAATGAAGTTTGTTTATAGAGCCAATATTTAAAACCAACGGAAATCACATAGTGGGCAGTAATGGTTTACCTCTATCGAGGCCAACCCTGGATGGGCACGTGTGAGGCAGTGTTCACCTCATCGCCACGTGGCTCTAGGAACAGACACGGTCACAATGTGCATTTCATGGGCGAGGAAGCAGGTTCAGAAAGGTGGAGGCATTTGCCCAGGGTCACCCAGGTGTTAAGTGGGAGAGGGGATGTGAGCCCACACTGGATGGGCCAGGAATGAGTCTGACTGGAGG